AACTGGTATGAGGTATGAGGCTGTAGGATCACACATGCACATATCACAGGGCCTAGCCTGGTACAAGAGGTACACATTGCCCTAGACACCAAAGGGGGGTTAGTGACCCCACACACATAAACACACACACACACACACACACACACAGATAACAAGGGAGGCCAGCACTCCAACTTTTATTGCCCAAAGATTTAGGGACCTACAGACAGCAGAGTGGACCTCACGGACAGGGGTCCTTCGACTTGGCACACAACCCCCTCCCCAGACATCCTGCCTTACATACCACTCACCCAACAGACCAAAACCCTAAAGAAAGTTTCATTTAAGTTTGGCTTTTGTATACCCTGTATATTGATTTACTCATGACTACTTGTCTCAATATACAGATAGGTTATGTTTGTGTCATTAGACAATCTTAGTGTTTTGTGTGCCACCCTTATAACCATGTTCACGGAGTATCACCTATTTAACCCCTTTATACTTGAACACTTATATAAATTTGAATAAATAAATAGTTATTAGCTACCACTGCATATATGTTCTCATGGTTATAACCAGAAGAAAAGTTGAATAGTCTAACCAGGTATCTTAGTGTGTCCTAACTATCAGAAATTCTTCTTTCTTTGTTTAACAACCGCCCCCACCCCTTTCCTTCCACATTCCTTGGTGGTCCTTATCTGATCTTGGTGGTCTGTTAGAAAGCTTTCTGTGTTCTACCATGCTATATTAAAAGGTCTGAATTAAGGTGTACAATATCCATTCTGGAGAAAATCAATTGGGATAAGCCACACTAACCAAAATACAGTGGTACCTCGGTTCTCAAACTCACTAGAAGTCGAACAAACCAGTTTGACCTAGAACTCGATCTGAATATCAGAAGTCGAACCGTGAACGCTGACCTAAAATAAATTGTACATGCCAGGAAATGAGTCATACTACAATGCAATTCTTACTTGAATGCCTTCTTCACAGACTGGACGATTAACCAAATAAAGCAGCGCAACATTACAGTAACTAACAATAAATAAACCACTAACTTACGTATACTATTAGAGCATTTATGTCATTTATTTAAACTTTATTTTACCAGGGAAATTAACTGAAAACCAGTTCTCACTGCTTTACGTGATATTTGGGAGAAATAGCAGATTACGCATCAGAACTGCCTGGGATACAAACGTCATGCGTGTAACTAAACTCTTCAGCCAATAAGGGCAAAGGTGTGTCGTCACGGAGGCGGTTCCAGTTTGTGCAGCCGGGTGAGAGGTCGCAATGCATCTAACCGTAATGCATTGCTTCAGGATCAGAATGTGTTGCTTTAAGCCAGTGCTGTAAGCAAGTCGAAAGCACCCAATGACCGGACTGGGGAAACAAACTGAAATGTAGACTTAATACAGAGGACTAATGACAACAACCAGAAACAGCTGATCACAGAAGGAGCAGACGATCAGGGCAGGACAGGGGTAATGTTGGGATAAGATCTTTATCGTTTTGGAAGCCATTAAGAAAAAAATGCTCTTCTTGTTTTATCCTGTTCATTTTGTGTTTAAATGCTACAAAAAAAAAAACGTTTAGGTGTAATTTTGGGTGGGCCGGGAACCAATTAATTGGTTTTCCATTATTTCTAAACGGACTGATACAGACCCCCTTCCAAAAGCCTACCAAATTGATGGCCAGCCACTGGTCCAGGAGTCGAATTCCTGGTCATCCCTATTCATGAACATTAGACCATAAAAACCTGGCACCTCAGAACAAAGGGGAGCAGAGAAAAGCCCATCAGCCCAAGAGGAGCAGAAAGACCATCAGCCCAGGAGAAGAGAAGCCCACAAGAAGCCCTCCGGTGAAGGCCCAGCTAGACAGAGAACTGAAACAAAGACAAAGCTTCACAAGGAGAGAGAACCCAAGGGGCTTCACTCCACTGCTCCAAACGGCGCGCCTCTCTGAGTGCCATCATCCCATCAGCTCATCAGCTCTGCAACCAACTGCCAAGCCCCCCCCCTCCCTTTGCTCTGCAACCAAGTAAACCAACTTCTTCTTATTCTAACAACCTAAGCTGTTCTGTTAACCTGCTATAAGACTTTAGGGTCGTGTTTCCACAAACTGTGCTTGCTTTGCAGAACAGTATTTCCGTTTTAAGGTTACTCATTTAAATCCGGTCATTGCATTTCCATAATTACATTGTTTGTTTCTATTCCGTTATTTCGTGTTTGTTGTTTGTGTTAGGGGTAATGTCTGTCTTATGTTAGTTGTAGTGTTAGCTAGGAATAAATGCATGTCTTTTACACAACTTCAGCCTCCGTTCATTGAGTGCTCACAATAGTCCCTGCCTCTGTGCAATCTTGCTACACGCTCTGAAACCTCAAACTCGCCTGAAATATCACGAGACACTCTCATCGGCCATGAGGGGAGCTTCGCTACCAATCGTTTACATTACCTGGTGATGCAGCTCGCTGGACGAGCCTTCTAACCCAGGTTACTAAGAGATATTGGTAATTAGTGAATCCCATTTAAGTCTCACTTTAAGAGACTTCACGGGGATACCGCAATTGAGTTTGGAGGAGCCGACAATTTGGCATAACAACTGGTTAATAATCAGCATTAAATAATAATTAATTAAAATTTAATTAATTACAAAACATATTGGTGGAGATATTAAAAATGACCTGAGCTAATAATTCCTACAAGGCTGAAACTAGAAACTGAATGGAATTAAATAGCAAAAATGTTGAAGATGCATGGGATTTCTTAAAAGCACATTGTTGCAAATGCGGGAGGACTTCATACCTGTTTCCAGCAAAACTAAATCTAGGAAACTGCAACCAAGGTGGTTTACTACGGAAAATAAAAAAACAGTTCAGAGGAAGAGGGCCACAAAAAAAAAGCGAAATTAATATAGTAAATCAGTTTAATGATTATTTTACTTGGGTGTTCACAGTAGAGGACACGAGTACCTTACCACCATTTATTACAAATACAGCATCGTCTTTGACCAATATATGTATAACTGAGGCTGATGTAGTACTAAGCCTAGCTAAACTCAAAACAAATAAATTGCAGGGCCCTGATGGCATCTTACCTATAGTTTTAAAAGAGGGAATGAGGGAAATTATTATCCAACATTTAACTTCACTATTTCAGAAATCCTTATCTGCTGGTGTGGTACCTTCTGATTGGAAGCATGCTAATATAATGCTTATATTCAAAAAAGGGGATAGAAGTAATCTAGCAAACTATAGGCCAATCAGTTTAACTTGCATAACTGGAAAAGTAATGGAAGCTATAATCCAAGTGAAAATGGTAGATTACCTGGATTCATATAATATTCTGAGGGATAGCCAACATGGATTTAGGAGAGGTAGATCCTGTTTAACTAATTTACTTGAGTTCTTTGAGGAAGCTACAAGAGAAATTGATCACAAAAAGGCCTACAATGTGATCTACTTTGATTTCCAGAAGGCCTTTAATGTTGTCCCCCACAAACGGCTCTTGCTTAAGCTCAAAGCTTCAGGGATTTTAGGAACTGTAGCAACTTGGATTGAGAACTGGTTAACAGACAGGAAGCAGCGAGTAGTTATTAGTGGGACAATGTCACAGTGGGCCTGCGTTCATAGTGGGGTACTACAGGGTTAAATTTTAGGACCACTATTGTTCCTAATTTACATTAATGATATTGACACCAATACATACAGTAAACTGGTTAAATTTGCAGACGACACCAAGGTGGGTGGTGTAGCAGATACTGAACTAGCAGCACAGAGGCTACAATGAGATCTTCATTTAATTAGTGACTGGGCTGATACCTGGCAGATGAAATTTAACATAGATAAATGTAAGGTACTCCATGCAGGGAGCAGAAATATAAAGTACAGATATTGTTTGGGTTCCACGGAAATAAAGGTAGCTGATTATGAGTATGTTGATGCTTCCATGTCCCACTCTCGCCAGTGTGGGGATACAATAAAAAAGGCCAATAGGATGTTGGGTTACATCTGTAGGTGTGTGTAGTTTAAGTCAAGGGAGGTGATGCTACGATTATACAATTCCTTGGTAAGACCCCACCTAGAATATTGTGTGCAGGTTTGGTCACCATACCTTAAGAAGGACATCACTGCCTTGGAAATGGTGCAACGGAGGGCTACAAGAATGATTCCTGGTCTAAGAGGAATGTCTTATGAGGCGAGGTTAGCTGAGCTGAATCTGTTTAGCCTCGAGCAAAGGAGACTAAGGGGGGACATGATCCAGGTATATAAGATTCTAACAGGTCTGGATGCTGTTCAGCCAAATGGCTACTTCAATATTAGTTTAAATACTAGAACTCGTGGGCATAAGTGGAAATTAGCGGGAGAACATTTTACAATGTTTTTGAGAAAGCACTTCGATCTTTACACAGCGTGTAGTTCAAGTATGGATCTTCCTGCTAGTGTAGTGCAAGCTAAAACCCTGGGTTCCTTTAAATCAGAGCTAGATAAGATTTTAACAACTCTGAGCAATTACTTAAGTTTTCCCCAAACGAGCTTTATGGGCCATATGGCCTCCTCTCATTTGTAAATTCCTTATGTTCTTATTTGCAGATGTTCTTATGATGTATGGGGTATTTTTCAGAATTTGTGTTTTTCAGATTTTCAGCACCAATAAAAATATGTTTCTTGCTAATAGAAATAGTATATAGTGTGTGATTGACGAGACAACCCCCCCTCCCCAACCCCCCCAACCCCCTCACCAGCGGGTGCCAGACCTCACATTTTTTTCCAAACCCTGGCTACGGCATTGCTTGCAGTTCATACTAGTGGATAGGTAGAGAGAATATGAGAGATTTAATCGATGCACGCGTTTCAGAAATGAAAATAAGCTGCGTTTTCAACGCAGTCGCGTGATCCAAATTAACTGTATTAATTATTAATACAATAAAATCAAACTTCCAAATAAACTGAGGGGGCTTGGTCTCTATGGACATGACGCCTCTGCTCCCGATGCTCTACCCAGTAGGCGTGGCTGTGAAGCTTGGTTTGAAAAGGCAGTGTGCGATTGTCAAGCAAACAGGCTTACAGACTCCATAGATAGCTAGCGGTCTTTACTGTTCTTGATTTTACGTTGGTTTTTTAATGAGTACCTTTAGTTTTTGGTTGACTTGCATTATCAACCTAGATGGCTTATTACCTGACGCCGTCTGTTTAGCTGCTCTTTAACTGTTACGCTCAGCTTCAGAAGTTTTCGATTAAACCAAGGTTTTGATACGGTATTAACGTGCGCTTAAATGTGAATTGAAGTTCTTTCGCTGAGTGCGGCTGACATTACTTCTGTTTAAGTTAATTTCGCCGCCTGTGTGTCCGTATTCATCTGCATTTGATATTCCTCGGTTGGTGAAATTGAAGGTAAGACATCCATCCATCCGTCTTATCCTGGTCAGGGTCGCGCAAACCTTTCAACACAATTCTTTGTGGTCCTGCTGTGAAATGCGGTAATTCAGCAAAATTTACTTGTAATACATCAAGATTTAGTGGTGTAAATGTTAGATTTTGTAAAGATAAGATGCAAATGGAAAGCATACTTATTCATAGCATATGGTGCAGTTATAGAGATTAGTCCATGCAAACTGACAAGGAGCAACCAAAGCTTACTTTTGTTGCCCTCTCCACTTAAACTTGGTGATTGCTTTTTTAATTGTTGTCCCAAGGGAAACCAAAATGTTCTTTGCATAAAACAAATCTAAGGAAAATTGACTAAAATACAAACAAAAAAAATTATATTCAGTATAATACAGTTAAGACTCATATCCTCCTGAGACCCAAGGAAAAAAGTGTCCTTCAATTGTAGGTTATTTGACTTTGGAGGAAATAAGACATCTTACAATTTAGATTTTTTTAAAATTTATTTTTATTTTTAATTTCACAGCATGTCCTCTTTAGTGTACAACAGGAATAAATATGTTTCTTTACATCAGTGAAAAGATAGATGCAAAAACAAAATGTCCACTACAATGGACATAGATGAATGGGTGGGGTCTCAGGAGGATATAGATAAACTGATGACCCTCTGTTAACCATATGACAAGATGGCTGGCTGGACTGATATATAGTGTTGGCTCAAAAGTTATTTTACAGTTTAAATGTTACGGTGCTTTGTAAAATGGCCACTTAGCTGAAGAAAGCTCTGACATTCGTGTTCTTTAACCCTTAAATAGGTTTAGAACATGAAATTTTGAAGAGTATTAGAATTGTCATGTAAAGTATATTTATGCTATAACGAAAGAATTTGAGGCGATTATTATTGAGGTGATTATTACTGCATTATTAGACAATTGATTCTGCTCTGAAATTCAGAGAAAGTACTCCTTGTCTGAGGTTGGTAGACTAAAAGAGAACACAACAGTCTATTCAGACTAGTATGGGCTTGTTTCTGTAGTGTTGCTATTCAGTCACTGCATGCACAGAAAGAGACGATGAGGCAATTTCCAGGTACGTGTTATGAAGTGTTACTTTAACATCCGTTAAAGACCAAATAATTATCACAGAATAGCAGCTCAAAGCAATGAAAACAAATGGACTTCCAAACAGTGGATGATGCAGCCAAAATCCTGCATTACAGTAGTCTTGTTATTAATCACAAGTTCAGTGATACCTAACTCCTGAATTGGCCCAAACTAAATTTTATGTTACACAAGTTTAATTAAAATGAAAAAAGTACACTGTTCTGCAAATTTAGGCAATGAGTTTGTGAATAAGCCTTCAACATAAGAATAACGGTCAGGCAAATAAAGATGATATACATATTATTGTGCTGTTAAGGTAGTCATGCGATCCATTAAATTGAATGATTGATTGATAAACTATGTGGAAATAAAGTGTTGTAATGCCTTAGATATTTGAAATCAAATGTTAATCAGAGCTATAAAACCTTTATTAAATGACAAATTGTATTCCAACATCTGTTATTATAAAAGAGATATTTATATGCTTCACAAATCTTTTATTTATTTTATTCTTTTCTTTTTTACTTTTCTGTTCTTCCTGCCTTCTTTTTAGGTCCTTTTTCTATGTCTAATACCATAAAGCTAATCCCTAAACACAGCAGCCAATTTGCACAGTAGATACCCTGTACTCTGAACTTGAGTAGGAAATGTGTTGCTATCTTCATTCTGAGTTTAAAATAGATGCTGTCAGAAACAAGCCACAGTGAAGGACTATATCCGGCCTGGTTAGCAACAAAACCCACACAGAAATCTAGAAAAGGCTGTGTTTGTGTGCTTTTTCAGAGTAGATAATAACGACTAATGATCTGGGCCCAGCATTCATGCAGATATGTAATTAAAATATTTTAGTTTTTTTCTTTTGCATTTTGACAGTTTTGTTCATTTATTTGTGATCCTGTGATCACTAAGCATAAAATGCACCTTGACTCTTTTGTCACCTCTCTTTGTACATTTGTGTGTGTTTGCTGTTTCTTGTTAGTGTTGTGTGATTTTTGAAAGGAGGCAGTCATCTATTTACTCAATGATTCTCTTCATATGAGAGCTGATGTCACACTGGCATCTGAACAAGCACTGCAGTCATGGTTCATCACATTTTGCTGTTTCCAATTAAATGATATTTAAAACTAAAACAAATGTACAGAATAAATCATCACACACATTTTGACATTGTTTTGATGAAGAACATCAGAAAATGTTTTAATTTAATTTTGCTTTAGATCTGTCACTTTAAAAAGCCCCTCATTCTTTATTCTATGGCTGGCTGGATTGCCATTATACCTATCTATATGTGTCAAAATATCAAATGATATTGATAATTATCCCAATGTTATTCAAGTCATTATTTTACTTCAGTGCTCTATTTTTTGCCTAAAATTCCCTTAGAATTACCCTTAAATATATTTACAACTTGAAAAAATGTGAGTAGTCACTATGTTTTTTTTTCTGACTGCCTTGCCTTAGGGCTGAAAGATATAAAAAAAAAATTATATCTCAGTATTTTCAAAGGTTTACACAATATCAGTATTTATCACAATATTATAAAATTATTTTGTAAAAATGTGTACAATATGACAGGTAGTTTGAACTTTTCTGATGATGATGGCAAATTGTTTCACTAATTGTTTTGGAGCATGTGACAGGTACAATGATGAAACTACATCAACAACAGAGTCTGACCTCGAGAGAATTTGTGTATAAACAGTGCAGTAGCAGTAGTAACTGCTGATTATGCAAGAAAACAAGTGCTTAGACTGTACCATGATACAATATTGAAACTGATGGCTATACGTATTATGTTCATAATCACGATTAAATATTTTATCACTATATTGTCCAGCCCTAATTATGAGTATGGAAACATTATTGTGCTTACATACACATTGTATTTTGGACAGGGGTGTTGCTAGGGCTGTTTGGGTTAGCTTAGAGAAAATGCATATGTAACATTCATCACACAGTGAAATTAATGAATAAGTTCACAAGAACATGCTCAATGTGAAAAACAGTATGCTAATTGTGAATGTGAGTTGCTTATGGCTAATGCTAGTTACAGTCAGTCATCATCAGCAGTTTGGAAACATTTTGGTTTCCCAATAAATTATAGCAGCACTGGACAGAATGTACTTGTTAACTAAGACTGTCTATTGGCTCAGTTATACCAAAGTCCTATGTCTTGTTGGAAACTCATCCAGCATGTTAGCCCTTGTGAGAAAAGTTGGCTTTCTTGTGTACAAAGTAAATTTATTTAGAGAGAAGATGTTACATTTGACTTTCACAAACAAAAATAAAAGAAAAACGCTTGATTATCAGTGTGCAGAATTATTAGGCAATACGAAACTAAGTGGATTTTCTCTCTTCACCATCAATAGAAATAATAATGAGAAACAATTTTTGTATATACTGTATATCAGTATATATAAGGATTAACAAGCTTTCAGCCGCTCTATACAGCCCACTTCACCCAGTTTAATGCCCATTATAGCCAACTTTCTTCTCAGTGACCACCATGAGCCTGTTTCCCACTGAACCAATCAGGTTTTTGATTTCATCCTGTCCTATATTAGTTGAGCCAGCTAGGACCACCACCTAGAAGCTGCTCTGAGAAGGGTACTGCTTGCTACTTAATTTGGTAAATTCCACACTTTGGTAAGGCCCAGTTGTTCTCAGTGGGGTTGAGTCAGGCGATGAAGGGGGACAGGCCATAATTCAATCACGTTTCAAGCCTTTCTAGGCCAATCTATGAAATACTTTGATGCATAGGGAGGGGCATTGTCTTGCAGGAATATCATAACCTCTTAGAAAGCTGCTGACTTCTTCTTGTGCCAGTGTTTGAAGAAGGTATCTTCTAGAAATTGGCAGTAGACCTTGTGGTTGATTTTTACACAATCTGCAAGTCAGAAAGGTATGACAAGTTCATCACTGATAATTGCAGTCCATGTCATCTCTCCTCCACCACCTTGTTGGTGCTTGAAGAGGATTTCAATCCACTGGCCCACCCATCTGCTACATCAAGAGTCACTTTCATCTCATCTGTCCCCAAAACTTTGTACCATCAGTCTTGAGATGTGTCGGTGCCCATTCTTACAATGTTATACCTTACATGCCTTATTGAGTGGAGGCCATGTTTCAGCGTTTATGGCCTTAGGAATGTCACACAGCACACTGCACCTAGAACGTCTGGGGATTCTGTTTAGATTGCAGTTTTGAAAAATGATGGCATTTGATGCTCAAGAGTCTCTGAAAGTCTCCCCTTTAATTTGGCACGGAACTTTGACAGTTTATGTGTGTCATCTTCTCTCTAAAAGCCTCTTCAGTCCTTCTTGGCTGTTGGCAACAAACCACTTGATTGTACAGTGATCACATTTCAAAAGTCTGGCAGTTTCGATCGTTTTGCATCCCTCTGATTGGTACTTTACTATTTTGTTTTTTTCCCTGCTTTCTGTAAGGTCCTCTTTGGCCCATTTCAATAGTAATTTGCTAAATAATTCTGCACAGGAAAGTATCTATGTTTTCCTGTTTTAAAACAGTTGATTCTTATTTAGAGATTCATCTGGACTCAACGTATTGGTTGGTTGAGAAGATACAAGTGAAATACACACTTGCCTAATAATTCTGCACACAGTGTACAGTCATTGACAAAAGTCTTGTCACATAAGGACATAGTAACTTAAAAAGGCATATAACTTTATTTCTAATCAATCAATTGCTACAATGAATGGATCAATTTAATGCCAAGGGCTTTCACATTAATAACTGGGTACAAAATGAAACAGTCAAAAAGTGTCCTGATGTTCACAGCTTGTTAAAGTCCATAACACAACAACAACAACAAATTTATTTTTGTATAGCGCATTATCACAACATTACATTGTCCCA